ACCCCTGCAAGTCTTTCACAAAACGGGGACCTACAGTCCCTAGCTATGACCTGCTGGTCTCAATGCCACAACCAAGAGGAGAGGGTTTCCTCACTTCTTATTTACAGGGCAGAAAGCTGAGGTTCGAAGGGGCAGAGGAACTTGCTCAGGGTCACTGGTTACCCGTGTCAGCTGTCGAGCGTTTGGGTGTTGCAGCGAGCTGCAGTGCCCACACCTCAGCCCCAACACAAGCAGCGGTGCTGGTTACTCTTTTAAAAAAGGCCTCTGGAAACGCTGTGGATGTCAGCAAACAAGCAGGGCAAACTGCAGGACCACGACTGTCCTCTGGGCAGCAAAGCACTGCAAGGCAGCGTGGAGCCGAGCTGACTCTGAAGCAGCCTCCAAAATGCACATTATGCCCCAGGGAATGACACGCACCTCGGTGGTGAGTTAGAAACCTTCCGTCACCACTGGCTCCTAAATCCGCAGGGAATGCATGGCTCTTGGGATTAGTGATGGCTTGGGGTTAAGCTGTCAGTCACTAGTTCAGGCACAGACCTGGGGGGAGGCAGAATACCCTCTAGACCTTCTAAAAAGAAACACACTCCTTCATACAACTAGAGATTTATGAACTGAATTTGAACTGATAAGGGCATGACCGCTCCTAGGAAGGGGAAGACACTTCTAAACCAGAGCTGGGGTCCCTACAAGCAGCCCCGACAAAGAGGGGAGATGAAGAGTGACTTCTTAGCCACTGCCAACTTTCCCAGCATCTTTACAAGATGCGTGAGGTGAGTGTCCACCACCAGAACACGCAGCTCTGCGCACAGCGAAGTGCTGACAGCCAGAAGTCACAGGAGAAGCAGCAGCCCCCAGCTGAATTTCCATAAACTTCGTTCCCATTCCATTTCCATCGCAGTCAGGCACTCACCGTGGGTGGCCTTAGCGCTGGGCTCTCCGAGCAGTTGAGGCTCAGCCTGCCTCGCATCCAGCTGCCTACCGGGGCCAGCGCGCCAAAATCCGCACCAGCCCCGCTCACAAAGGCAGGGATGGGGCGGGAAGACAACGCCGGTTTATTGCTTTGGGATGGGTGTGCTGAGGGGAAAGCAACAAAACGCGGCCAGCCCTGCCAGCAGCAAAGCACAGAGCAGCAGAAATGCTCGGCAACGTCTGGCGGATGCAGAGCAGGGCTGCAAGCCGTGGCTTTCCTAGCACATCCTCTCCGGCTCCCCACTAGCCTCCCCCTTCTAGGCAAGGTGTAAGAGCTATAGCTCTATTTTTTTTTTCCTGTCATTTCCAACCCATCTCTCACCACCAGGATAACTGCAGCCTCCTTGAGCCCAGTCACCCACCCAAGCACCTGCTTGTGAAAGCAAGCGCCTTCGCGCTGCCTCCTGCATTGCTCCAGGAGCGCGAGGGGAACACACGGAAAACATGCGGAAAACCCAATTCCTTTTCCTTTGGAGAAGCAGCCTTGTGAACTCTCTGGAAGACCTACCAGTTAGGCTATTCCCAGTGCGCCTCGGCTGTCCCAAGGCTACTGTCCCCTGATGTCCCCCTCTGTCCATGTTACTGACCTTCCTATTTAAGACTACGGTCCAGGTGGTGACCAGCTCCTAAGGTAGGGACCATCTTCTGGCACTGCGCTCACCTTGCACCTAACACAGCAGTTTCCAGTGCCCAAGAAGGGCTTCTAGACGTGGTCGTGATACAAAAAATTGGAATACATCTTATTACCTTATCTCCTTACATCTTAGCTTGTAAATCTTCAGATTTACACTGAAGCCAACACTGAGGACATGTGCGTTTTGTGCCCATTAGAAGCAATCATCCAACGGGCAAGAAAACAGAACTCCCAGCTCCTGGGATTTGCTACGAGGGATCTGGGGCAACGTGAGGACAGCAAACGGTTACAGCACATACCCTGCGGGAGTCTCCCAGAGCACGGAGCGGGCAGCTTTCCCCCGAGACTCCATGACCTGCCAAGCAAAAAACAAGTCAGAAAGGAAGGCGATGGAGTCAACGCTCCAGACTCCAACGAGAGCCTCAGCTGCATGCCACATTCCCTCCAAGACTTAGCGCTGACCTTGGCTACAGCTTCGCCTATCTTTAAAATGGGAATTATAAACCCTTCTACCTCCCTTAATCCCATCTGTTTGGTTTGTAAATTCTCCAGGGCAGGGACTGGTTTTTATTTGTGTGTACAGCACCACATACAGCAAGGTCCTGCTCTTGGCTCGGCCTGCTAGGCATGATTGAAATACAAAGAAATGACGGTATCTTGATCAAACACGAAGAACTCAGATAAACAACAGAAAAGCAGCTTGATTTTTTTTTCCTGCAGTCTCTGCTTTTCCGTGAGTTGTTTATTCATCTCAAAGCCTCAGCAGACATCTAATCAAGCTGTTCAGTCACATTTGTGGCCAGTCAAACACTCGGGGAGTTGTTAAATGCTCAAAACCAGTTCTATTCAGCAAACATTTTTTTTTCCTCCCCCAGATAGAGATGTGGTTTCTTTATTCACTTCATACCTACCATTTTCCTATTAAAATTTCTCCAGGATGATGGAGTAACTTCTCCATTCAAAGGTCCCATTAAGTTTTGGGTAGGGACACCTGACTTTTTTAAGCCTGTCTTGTTTGCACTTTTTGGTACCGGTCCAAATCATGCTACAGTTAGACGAAGCAATGATTTCAGCAGGCTTAAGAAGAAGAAAAAATGTGATAGTTTCCAGATGAGTGTATTATACTAAATTTAACATGCCTTTTGGTACTTAGAATTTCCACTTTTTCCTCTTCCATTTATGTAATTAGAAATCAAGCAGCAGGAAACCATTCCTATTCCAACCTCAGTTGGGAACACTATGGTCTCATTCCCATAGAGGGAAACAGGAGACTTGTCCTCAAAAGGAGATATTTTGCACAGCTTACATGGACAGGTTCAAAAATAGGCTTTGAATAATAGAATTTTAATTGAACCAAGTACAGATGAATTATGTACTAGCTATGTGCATGTGTGTGTATACATACATATGTACAGTGCGAAATCAAGGCAGCTGTGGAAAGCAAACACATTCAGCGCTTACCTCCTTTAAAGAAAAATGAGAAAATTTAAATTCCACTCTAAAATTGTGCAAGACCATGTAAAGCATTTCCACACTTACACTAGTGAATTGTACAGTAACAAGCAGGAAAACTTGTTCCGTCCTTTGCAAGGCAGCAGTAAATAACACATTGTGAGGAGCACGGATTCCCTTTGGGATCCCAGGCCAGGAGGGACCGCTCGATCACTGTCCCCAGCAGCAGGACTAGGAACAAGCGCCGGTACCTGAGCTGCAGCAGAGAGAAACAACTCATGGGATCCCCTAACTACCAGGACACCAAGTGAGAGAAGCAGCCACCACGGAGAGCCCAAACGCAGCGCGCCAAGGGGTTTGTTTCTGCATGGAGGGGGATACAACCAGGGGCCGCTTCTGCTTTAGTCTCCAGTTTCTTGCCCAGGTCGCTGCTCTTCTCTCCAGCCCAGTCCTCTGGCTTCCCAGACTGCTAGCGTTGCAGCACATACACACAGAGCTCAATAAAAACACTTTCCAAACCGCAGAGGAGCTGTGGCTCCAAAGTACATAGTTCAAATTAAAAATTGGGGCCAGATAAAATGATTCAAAATGGGAAAGAAAGAGATCCTGTTTCCAATAAGCTGTTTTGACCTGACTGATGAATGCAGTCCGGCAAGGGAGGAGGTGGAAAAACAAGGACATGCTCGAGCAATGGTCCTGGATGGTATCATGCTTTGACAGTCTTTAATGCTGCTCTGGCATTAAAGCTATTTTGTTTCACAAGTCCATGGCTCTAGGCTACCTCTCTGGCCTCTGTTGGTTCTGGGCACAGCTCAAGGTGCCTCTTCGGGGTGCAGGATCCACACACAAGGGCCTCGAAGAGGTGCAGGACGCCTGGAACACCGGCACCAAACGCCAGGTCCGTTGCTCAACGGGATAAGGAGTTTCTCAAGCTTTCTACGCTCAAAAGGCTGCCCCTCAGTCCGCCCCCTTTTCTGGCATGGTTTAAAAAACAAACATTGCACAACTTGCTTTTCATTGTCTCCCCTTTCTGGAGAGGAATTTGTTGTCATTCTTCCATCTGCCTGTGCTCACCATGGAGCAGAACAGGCTTTAAGTAAGTGCAAGCTCGGGATCAACCTTTAATGCTCCTTCAGTTTTAGCAGACCTGTATTTGCAGCTTGTGCTACATGGACATAAACACAGCAAGCATCTTAACTGCAGGGAAGAAAAGTCCTTAGGAGCCATCTCAACAGCTACAGAAATGCACCAAGCAAAGAACTGTTGCAGGAGACCTCTCAAGCCAGGAGAAGAGCAGGAGGCTACGTGCCAACAAACAATTACAAGGGCTGGGGTAAACCTAAAGTACGAGGGAGTACTTGGATCAGTGACTTGCCAAGGCAAGAAACAGCTTTAAATATTTGCGACCCATTCCCAGACGCTGAAATCTAAACGGTCTCCCACAGAAGAGGGATGAAAAAACAATCACCCCCGAGGCAGGCGCCGCGCCAGCTGCCCGGTGCATCTGTCCAATTACCCCCCGCGGCAGGGAGGCTGCGGACGCTGCTCCCGCCAGCGCTCGAGGCTTCGAGGGACAGCAGCAGCCAGCGAGCGGTTGCAGGGCTTGGAGCTGCCCTTTTCCATTATGCCTCTTTGGAGTGGACCAACTTTCAGTTCTAAAGGGCAACTGAACAAACAGGACACAGGAGTATTTATATTCCTCTCCAAACACCAGCCCCAGCGGCAGGGGTCTAGCGGGTGATTTATGAGGTGGGAATGCTTCTTTGAACTGCGTGTTTGATGGGGGTTGCCTTGCAAGAGTGCAGAGGAACATTCGACGGCTGTCTTCGCTGCAGAACTTCCACAGAGGCTTTACCCAGGTGGTCACAGCTGCTGGGTATCCAAACTGAAGTCCTCTCCTCGCCTTCCCTCGCTCTCTCTCACATACAGAGTCAACACACCAGAAAAGGCCGTTTTTGTTTTATTTATTTCCCAGAAGAGCTCTTCCTTGCACTTTCCAGACACAAGTTACAAAACAAGGAACAGAACTTTGTTTCGTGTACAGAAACAGTTTGTTGGAGTATAAAGAGTTACTGGTGATCGTTACTGAAGAATGTTGGCTTATTCCAGGGGCACTTCAGTATTCCTGAGGAATAATCATTGATTTCTCCTTCCTTCCCACTGGGATAGTCTTAGCCATTAGTCACTGTTCCTGTAAAGCAAGAAGGCTTATATTATTAAAAAGCCATTTGGGTTCCTTACGTGGAAGGCGCTGTGTGATGCACAGGGAGCCCCTCGGCCTCGGAACACTTCCAGAAGGTGGGCTAACGCCTTTGTCCTTGGCTGGATCACAGAGACGCTAAGCTGCTCTTCCCATCAGGAAACACGCCGTGTTTGCATGCACACAAGCCTCCACTCTGATCAACCAGGCACTTCAGAACCCCCTGGAATTACAGGGCTTGCAAATTAACTGTTCAGTCTGCACTTGCAAATAGAAAAATCACTTCCACAAAGGGCAGAAGAAAAGGCTCCAATGGATGAGCTTCTCATGTTGTTGCAAAGCCATATAACCACATTGCTACAGGAGTACTGGTGTGCTTTTGCAGCGATAAATACACAATCTAAGTGTCTGGAAAGTGATCCTTCGCATCCTGCGAGGCAAGCTAGGCAACTTAGCCTTCAGCCATACAGTTTTCAGCCTAAGGGTTACTGCTAGATGCAAAATTTAACTTCAATTATTTGATCAAACGAATTTCACTGGGACATGATTTAGAGCCCTCAGATTTTTATCACTACTGAGCGCTCACTACTATTTGAGTTCTACTGCATTTTAAGTGATTGCTTGCTCTAGATGAATGGCCTCTTCTACTGGTGCCAGGGCTCCACCATCAATTTAATAATCCAGAGAAGGGGCAGTGGGATGCCAGCTCTACCCAGAACGGGTGCAAAGTTGCTTGGTAATCTCCTGCTTATTTGGTATCACGAGGGTCCTCTGCCTGTCTTGTCCTCACCTGGGATTCAGAACTAAGAACTTGATTCTGAAGCCTCCAGACTCCTGCCTGGATGGGGCCCTGCCTTCACAGCCCCTCATCCGCCTTCACAGCCCCTCATCCGCCTTCACGGCAGGTCATGCTTGGAGGTTGGACAGGATGTCCTCCCCGTCCCTACCAACGTCAGTTATCCTAGCAGCCCATGAACTTGACAGCTTCAGAAGACTAGAAATAACTTCAAGTTAATCCATGTTCCATTTCTTTTAATAAAGCTGATCTGTCTTGCAGACTCTTGTTTTGTCAAGTTAATTTGAACAAAACTCCAGCTTTGTAAAGGAAGTCCTAAAGAGTTTTGTTACAACAGTATTTGCTAGGAAAAAACAGATGAGTGATAATGCAATATTTTCCTACACTCCTAACCACCAGAAATGAAATAATTTTGCTGTAATAACCCTGGAGCCATTATCCATGACATTACATTTTGGAGAGAATTAATGACATTAACCATTAGATGGCTTCATCTGCCTCTTGCTTCTCTCAGCATGTTCAGCCTCTCCATGTCAGAGAAAGCTAGTGGAGACAGAGCACTGGAAACTATTTGTCTAGTCTTGTGCCATGCAGGCAGCTGTGCTGCTTCTGGGAAGTGTCCTCTCAATTACCTCATGCCTTCAAGGACCACCCTTGCTCCAGAACACGGCTTAGTTCTTAGTTCAAATAAGCCCCCCGATCCCCAAATTGCCTTGCTGATGCCTGGCAGCCCCAGTAAAAGGCATCTGTCAGTGGAAGGTGTTTTCAGAGCATGTTAACAAGGTGTTTACCACACAAAACCAGACATTTCTCTCTAGTTTATTTTGAGGACCTAAGCTGGAAGAAGACTCAGAATGAAGCAGAAAGCTAATGTATTTTTCATATTATAAGATTTGACCAGAAGAGTCCTGCACTGACTGCTGGTTCTAGAATATTGCTAGGATGCAGCTGAGAAAGCTGGATGCAAGGCCCAGTTACTGTGTGTTTTATTTTGGAGCAAAAGCTCAAGAATCTTGAAGCCGTTTGCAGCTCTGTAGTTAGCTGGAGAGACTCTCCTCAAGCAGGTATTTCTAGTAAAGCTGCTGTGGGCTGGCAAAAGCCAATCTGCCAATAAATCTAAGGACAACATGACTTAGCTTTCACCTCTAGATGCATCCAGAAGACTAAAAATATCTTCAGGCCTCTTTTATTATGCCAGAGAGATACATGATCAATTTTTGCTTTCTTTTTGCTTGCCATGAAAAGTTTCTGGCAGAACATTTTTACCTCAGGATTTTCTAAAGTAATAAATTAGCTGTAAATACGTCCTGGTTGATGCCTCTCCAGTGGTAGCACTTAAATGCTTTTAGCAGAATACGTGGCTTCTTGGGTTCAACACACCCAATTTTTCAATATGCCACAGCAATTAATATAGCACAAGAATGGCTGCAATAATTTCTACATATGAAATGGCAAATATTTATGGAGTTAATTGGTAGACTTAGTGCACTCTATGTAATTACAGGTAGTTTCTAAGCATGCAGATAGTTCCTTCTAATCAACCTATTTTAAAATATTTAATCTCAGCATTGATTACAACAGAATTCATTTAAATTCTCCTCTTCAGTACTTTCACAAATGTACAGTTTCTTTGGAATACTACACAACTATCCAGCTAAACAAGCCACAAAACTTAAGAATGGTTAGAGTTTTCATGTTGCAAGAAAACCCACAAAAGATTAAAACCTTGCTTCTACAAGCAGATCCATTGAAACACATGCTTGACAAGACTTACAGATTCTTCTTAGCTGCCCTCTTTCCAAAACTGAAGACAGAATGTTATTCTTATTTTTTCAGCTTTTCTAATACGTATTTTATTAGACATGTTTATGAGTTGTGGGAAAACCTACCCGCAGGATCTGCTAAGATAATCCTACACACCAAATACTCAAAATAACCTAAGAGCAGGGGAAGAGAAGTTTCTTCTAACTGGCACTTAGGGAAAAGGGACAGGATTATGCATTTAAATGGTGTGTAGATGCATCATTTAACGCTAGTAATTAGTTACAACTACTACTGGTACTTACTTTATGAATTTGCCATGGAGAAGATACGGAGACTGGAAGTCATGTTGACAATTGGAATAAGCCATTCCTATTCCCATCCCTGACCCAAAAGCAATAGGCCATGTCTTTCCTGTGGGGAAGATAAGCAGAGAGAGAAAAAAAATTCCAAGAAACCTCTTCATTTCATGTTACAGTGATAAACTGATCAAGCAAATATCTAGAATGAATCAACAGCCATGAAGATGCACATTAGGCATTTAAATTCTTCAAATCCTAACATCTAAAAACAAGCAAACAACATCCCACAAAAACAAAAAATCCACTTCAGAAAAAGAAGAGTAAGCAATTAGATATCTTGGAGATATCTTCTGTTAATAAAGCATAATTAAAGGAGAACAGAGATTAGCTTTATAAGCCCAGCAAGACTGGCATAAGATGTTTAGACACATGGATCCAGTAATTGGCTCAGGGTTTTTTGCGATTCCAAAACTTGACCTGAGCACAGCAGGAGTTCAGAGACACCACATATAACCTTGTTACACAACAGCTAGAAGTTTGGGTACCTGCGTGTCGACTGAAGAGAAATGAGCAATAATGAAGGAGTTGGAAAAACACTCCAATTGCATTTTACCCGCCTCAAAGATTTCTTGGTTTTAAAGTGAACCCACAACAGACCAGTCAGAAAACCAGGCAGCCAAGGTTAATTACTTACTTTTGAAGAATATGACTGAGAAAACAATTCCTAACCCGAATCCAGCACCTGTAAGAAGAAACACAGCAAGTGAGGACTAAGATAATGCAAAGGATTTGAAAATAATTTAGTAATGTTCGTTAGTGCTTTGTTCTGGCCAGTAATACCATAATAGATGGCATTTCAACACACCAAAAAGGTATTCCTAAAAATAAGAATTACTTTTTGAATACTTTTCTTAAATTTAATCAGCTACATCAGATATGAATCCCCATCCATTCAAGATCATTATAACTGGCAAGATTTGGGAAGACAAACTAAACCCTCATGCCAGGGAAAGTTACTGAATTTCTGTCACCAACAACAATGTGGAAGCAAGATTTATTTGGCTTATTGTCAATAAATGAGAAACACTCAAATGAGAACTTATCATGTCCTTGAGCTTTGGATATTGCAGATGAATATCTTACTGTATTTCATTTATCTCACTACTTTAACTACTTCAATGTGTGTCTGGAGGGCAGCAAAGCTTTGAAGCTTTGTGTTACCCTATACCTTGCAAAAGAAAGCTCCAGGCTGCTTATCTTTCACATCCACAACATTCATTATAGAGCATATTTAAACACACTAGGAAAGAATGACTTTTCACATCCTTATACTATATTTAGACATAATTGCAGCAGTTCAAAAACGTATCCAGCACCATTAAAGAACTTAGTTGGCATATTTAAAAGTAATTTTTGCTTTCCTTGGACGGTGCACTTATGATTTCTTGTAAGAAGTTGGGCGAGTCGGCAAAATCCTTCTCAAAACCCAATAAATAACAGTGAAAAAAATTTGAGTTTAGTGCATAAATTCTACCTTTAGTTATATCCAATAAAGACAACCTTAAAAAAGGAATACCTATGCTCCCTAAAAACATTAACAGTTTCAGGTTTATTTTGGAGGGGGGAAAGGGGGAGGAAATCCTGTTATGGGTTTGAATTCTCTCATTTTAACGCATGAAATCTAACTGACATGCACTGAGTTTTATTAAAATATTTATTTTTAAACTAGTCCTAAAAGTATGTGATCCTTTCTTTAAGCTCCTGTTGAATGCATTATCAAGTGGGTCAAGCCCAGAACAATGCCAAAGAATCCTATACCCTCCTGGCATACGGGAGTAATTTTAAGTTTCCTTGGGTCTTTAAACTTTTTTTTTTTTCTTTTCTCTTGCAAAAAGTAAATTAAAGGTAGCTCCAGTTGAAGCACAGATTGCTGAAACAACACTCACTGAAGTAGCTAGTAAATTAAGCACCCTATGCTTTTCAAAAGCCCTTTAATATTAGAGCAGAGACGCCTGGCTAAACAAAGTCAACCCTCTCCAGTTGACTTTGCAATCCGTATTCACTGAGAACTGGAAAGCAGAGGTGCTTTTGCAAACTCTTCTCATTTTATTGCCTATTTTCATTAGATCCAACTGCAACAGAGGTAACTGCTTTAGCAGGTCACTGCAGCTCTGGAGCAGGTTTATGAACACGCGCCGCGGGGACGAGCTTTGCCCGCCTGCCAGGCGGCTCCCACTGCTCCGAAGGGAGCGTTTCGCAGCAGGCCATGGATTCACTCTGACCTTTTCCACGGAGCGCCTCAGTCCTTCAGATGTCCGGTCACAGCTACAGACCCCTTCTGCATTTTGGACCGAAAGGGATACAATACTTGGAGAAGTGTTTACAAATTCATTCTCCTCCTGCAGCACAGCCCAGCATTCCCGTTCCGAGCGGGAAAGACGCGGATTGCCAAGAGCAGCCCTTCATCCACACTGAGGCCTCCACTCCCCTCGCCAAGCAGGGCCTTCCTTCTGCACCTTTGCTATAGCGCAGCTGGTGCTGGCTCCAGCGCAGTGTTTATGCTATTAAGGATAATTACTATCTGCAAGAATTCATCCAGCGGACAACTGTTTGGGCCTCTGACCTGGCTCCCTCCAACAATCCTCTACAATATGTGGTTATGCTGCCTTTTTGTTTTGGCCTGGTGTATTTTAGGTCCAAACACAACTTTTGGAGGTAACTCCTTTGAGTTCAGACGGCGCTAGGCGTCGTTTGAACTGTCCGGCTGGTCACGCAGGGAGCGATACTGCTCTGCGCTTCCTTTCCAAGGAGAGATTCCCTCTGCCAACCCAAACAGTTTAGCTAATCAATGAGAAATGATTTACAGGATGACAAGTTGTGCCTCATCTAGCTGCGGAGCCCAAGCAATTGCTAATGTCGCCACATTTTCCATGTTACCAGTCAAACCCACAAGCCAGCTTACCAGGGTGGTGGTAACTGCTTGTTTTTTGGTCTTAAAAAAAGGTTGTGCTAAGGAAGCTACTACACTTAATCTAGTTGCTATCTTGCTCTCTACATCTGGAAAACATTATTTTGGACCTAAAAGAAAAGACAGGTCTTCCCCCACATTAAGGCACAGCACCACTGCTGAGCATGGTCCCATATGATTGACTTTCTAACACAGAAGGTCATGTCTTTTTAAGTTTTTTTCCTAGTATCTTTGTTAGTAGATCAGTCTCCACAGGTGACTGTACTACTATAGTTCTTGGGAGTTGCACACAATTAAAAACATCTTCAGAAGTTATAATCCTCTTCTAGGAAAAGAGATTTTAAATTACTTCCCACAAGAAAAAAACCTTGGTGCCAGTTTTACAGGCCATCACTCCACCTTACTCCAACAGGTAGGGGAGCGGGGAGGCAGATTAGTTTAGAAAGATGATGGCTAGAGATCTGGTTCCTTGTTCTAAGTTAATGCAAAGCTATGGGGAAATAAAAGGAGAGATCTGACAAGTAATTTTTGTGTGCGTTTTCTCTACAGGAAGGCAACTTGAAAAAGCCTTCTTCACTTCCCTGAATCCAGTGTCAGTTCAGTTCATTCCAATTCCGACTGGAGAATGGGCTAGAAATGACATGGAAAACCGTTGCTTATTGAAAGATCCTTTTCAACAAAAAACGCTCCCATCTTCCCTCTTGTCCAGGCCAGCGCAGAGATGTCTGCTTTTTTTAAATGTGGCTTGAAGAGTTGTTTTGGTTTTAACTTTAAACCAGAAGCCTTAGCTACTTGTAATTTCTTACCCTGCCTGGTTAAAAAGCTCTTTCTGTGGATAGTTTGTCACTCATCTTTGTTCCACTAGGAAGTATTTGAGGTTGTGTGGTCATTTCCTGCGTCTCCAAGACAAAAGGGGAGCTAAACCATTTTTTCTTGGAAACGAAGTAATGTGTTTCTCTTTAATTCTATATAAAGTTACACAAGAGATAAACAAGGGCAGAGCTGCTGATGAGTTTTACAGGTTTAAATTCTCACATGCTCAATTTCCTTTTAAAGAGGCAACATGTTGCTTCAAAGAGCCTCCCACCTGACCAGGGGACACTCAGTCTGCAGCTGTTTCCACTAAAGAGCAGCACCTCTAGGCCAGGCTTTAACTTCATAACAATAAAACATGAAAGGTTTATCTTACAATAAAAACAAACGAACATGGCAAAGCTAAGGGCTTGATCCATGCTGGACACAGGCTCCCTCCCTTGCTTGCATGACAGACTGGGGAAAAAGGCCACAGGAAAGAGTACAACACATTTTTCACCTTCTCTTGACAGCTTAAAATGTTTAACTGGAAAAACAGCCTCTTCCACCCCACCTCTATCAATTCAGCTTAAACTCATTTACAGCCACCATCACCAAGGGACGGGATGGTTTCTGGACGTGTTCCTTGCTCTCCCCAATGAGTCTTCCTGGCCACTTCTGTACCAAGAGAAGCAGGAGGAATCAGCATTAGGCAGCGTGCCCAGCCTCACATTTTTTCTTTCAGCTTTTCTGGCTGCTACACCTTCTGAGAAAAATGTCAGGGTACCTCAAATCAATCCAACATACAGACGAGCACGTGCCATATACCCTACAGGACATCATAAAAGTGTCTCATGGAGAAACACAAATCTTCGTGATGGGCTCCTGCCTCAGCAGAACATCTGGGAAAAGCTTTTTTTTTCCCTCCTATAAATTTAATCAACAGCCCCTCCAACAGCGATACTGCACAATTCTTCCCTAGGCTACCCGAGCAGCTACAGGCTGGAGCAGCTATCGAGACAGCCACACCTAGGCAGACTTGTCTTCAGCAGCTTGAAACTTAAGACAGGAGGATTAAAACATGCTCCCTGGCATTTGGCAGAGGTGTTGCTGTAACTATGGCAGCTGGAAATCTTCCAATTCCTGTCTTCCTGTCCACAGTTCTCCTCTTCCCCTCCCCTATGCAGAAATACAAGACAACTTTAGCCTCCTCTCTTTCATATTCTGTTATTTTACACTTAAACAATGATTAGAATAAAAATGAAGTAGCAGCTCCTGGAAGATGCTGCCTTAATCTAAAAGTGGCAACACTCTGTACAGACTAGACTCTGAAACAGGATTTTAGCAACCTACCCCTGCCTAGTTAGGAGATAAGCAGTTTCTTCTCATGTAGAAAGACAGCTTGCATTAGCAGCAAGAAGTCCTGCAATTGCTCAGTTATTTAGTTTGACTTTCGGGACAGCAAAAGCAACAGCATCAAGGTGTAACAGCAGTTCTCATCCAAAGGCCTGACACACTGCAGGTTTCAAGCAAGCATCCGCTCAGTACAGCACTAGAACTTCTTTCATATAAAGAAGTATTAACAAAACTGAAGATCTTTAAAAAGTCAACTAATTTTCAAACTATCCACTCACTTTGACAAGATATACACGATTATTGTGCAAAAAATGGGGAAGACAGCCTTTTTCTTACACCAGAGCTTCTACAGAACAGCACCTAACATCAGTTAGAAAATTGAGACCTTCAACCCATTATTTGCTGAGAGAACTAATTTTAAACAGGCTCTTAGCAATGTCTTTTGTAGCAGGAATCAGGTTTTCTTCAAATACCAACTTTGAAGTTTGCTTTCTCATCTCCCCTAGCGTGTGGCTTGTTTATATAGCAGAAAGAAAAATGAGCAAGGACACTAGAAGAAAACACAGAGAAGCTATGTACCAAGTAATCTAGGAAGTAATAGGGGAAAAAGAAAAAAAAAGTGTTTTGTTCTTGCGTTTGACTGTAGCAACACTG